CTATTGAAACGGTGAAGCATTAGGAAGTCTGTAAATTACTCTAAAAATAAAACAAAGAGATGAAATCATAAATCCCCCAAAACAGTGATGATTATGGTTCACAGTTTCTTTTTTACAAAGAAATAAATGGAAAGAGGTGGCTCGTTTGAATACATGATAGCTATGGATTTTTTGGCTTCATAAATGTAGTTTTACTTTCAAAGACAAAAATAAAGGATTTTCTTATTTTTAGTCCTTTCCACAATAATAAAGAAATAATTTACTAACTTCAGTAACATGTATATATGGAAACATAAAATGTGATACTATTTCGCTACTTTCTAGTACACTGTAGCAGGTCTGACAGATGATAGATTAGTTTAAATGTTTATCACCATTTTAGAGATTGTAAAACAATAGCAAAATATACTGCACATCAAGGGAAATGGAAGAAAGTTGGAAGTAATACCTTTTTAACTTATGAGGGCTCAAATGCATTTAAGACATCTAGTGTTAGAGCATAAATATGAAACAGAGTAGTAATTAGTTTCTCTGATCACCTGAAAATAGGTTATCAACCACAATAAATAGCTTCTTTTGAAAATAATAGTTCTATGCCTGGGAAGTATTTTCTGAAACCTGTAGCAACAACAATAGAAATATAATTTTTCCCCTGTGGGTTGTTGTTGTTGTTGTTGTTTTGTCTTGTTTTTGTTTTATCATTTTTAGAGAGATGATAATATGTACACAACCCCACAGCACTTCCTCTGGAACATTATGAATCTTCCTTAAAATTTTCATTACATGTCTATCAATCCTGTCCCTTTGATTCAGGACTGCTGCAACAGGCACCCAAATTAGTAAGTGATGTAAGCTGGAGATGAGATTATGGGAAAAGAATGTCCACTGTAAATATGGATATTTGGTAAATATCTTAACATATACATCAGCAATGTTTATTCCAGAAGTAAGATACTCATTACCTGCTCTGCCCTAAACCTTCATGTACCCACCAAAAAGGTATTTCTAAAATCACAATTTTCCCTAAAACCCAGGCGCATGAACTCTTACCTTTGTAGGGAAAGAATTAACCTTGGAGTAGATTTCTTTCTTTCTTCCTTTTTTTAAATAAAAAACCCTAATAAGATGTTTCCTTTTAAAAACTTTCCATAACTGATTATAAAGAATTTATCAGTCCCTACATAACATTAAATCTCTTAAACTTTCAATCTTTTCCCTTTAACATAATTCCATAGTATTTAGTCTTAAATTTTTCTAACTTTAAGCTACTGTTATTCAAGAATTTAATCATACCAATTAAGTTCATCTATCCTACATGCTAAATTCTCCACATCTGTCTTAAATTCTGACATCTCAGAGTGTTAAAAATATTTTACAGCGAAGTCTTTGAAGAGGTCAGAGGGTATTAAGAGTCTTGTTCTTTACCATAAATTCAATCTACGTTTGACTTTTAAAGTTCAAATGACTTTTTTGCTTTGGGGCAAATGAACCTTATTTCATTGGTACATTTGGTTTACTGAAATCCTTTAGAAAATAAATGAGTAGTCAAGATTTTGTTTGTTTGTTTGTTTGTTTGTTTTGCTGATTAGCAAAAGATTATGTATGGAGGTGGGGGTAGAAGAGATGAGGGAAAAGGATGTTAAGTAACCAGAAAGATGTCTGTTGAAGAGCTGCTGCTTTACTTGAACTCTGCAGAAAACTGCACTGTTAAAAGCAGCAACTCTGGAGGTAACTAGGGAAGAAATACAGATCTTTATTCATATTGCTTTGTTTATACCCTAATACAAAACACAGATTAGGCATCAAGAATTTAAATGCATTCCTTCTTCACTTTGGTAAGTTCATTTCTCCTTTTCTTTCTCCTCCTCCTCCATTTACATATACTCATCCAATTCCAACTAGATGAGAGATTTCAGGTTACATATTATTATTTGATAGGGAAAATAAATGTAGCAGATATTAAAGCTTAACAGATCATTTTCTCCTGTGGTTATATCTTTGGAAATATGATCCACACTGAAGGTACAATAACTCCTCCAAACTCCTAGACAGACTAGCAGTATCTGCCTTGACCACAACAGTCCTAGAATCTTGAACTGCGTGTCAAAGAAAATAACAGCAAAAAACAGCAAAAAAGGTGCTTTTCTTTTTTCTTGCACCTAATAACCCAAGAAGTGTAATGCTATCAAAGTCCTGGGTTGACAAAAATGTATGGAATCTTTCTTTCAATTCAATTAATTGATTCTTTAAAATAACATTCTTACTAAGATGAATAGCAGAATCAAATTACTTTTTAAAAGATTTTATTTATTCATCTGAGAGAGAGAGAGCACGCACAAGCAGGGGGAGCAGCTTGCGGGGGGTGGGGGTGGGGTGGAAGAGCAGACTCCCTGAGGAGCAGGAAGATTGATAATGCTGGGCTGCATATGAGGTCCAATCCCAGGACTGAAAACCATGACCTGAGCCAAAGGCAGACACTTAACCTACTGAGCCCCACATAATTAAATTATTAAGATCACCTCAGACTCACTGTAAAGTTTAAACATGGTAAATTTATTCATTTTTCACTTGATTTGTTTTCTCTTTTGGTTCTTAAAGGAGATTCTATTTGGGAGGGTATGCTGTTAATTAATCAGCTCCACTTACCTGAACAAATGATACAATTATTAACTTTCAAACACTTCCTAGAGTGATTTTTTTTTCTAGAAATCAAATTTGATCCTAATAAAACGTGCTTAAGATACGTCATTGTATTCCTTTGTTACAGGTAAAAGGTGCCCCTATTTGAATAAGACAGGAAAGTTGCACATGCCTTGTATTCTTGTCTTTCCAAATCCGTATTTTGCTATATCCACACACAATACCACTGGGTCCTTCCACATTAATTAACTTATATTTATATTAAGCCCACAGCTCCCTAGTTGCCCCTTTGTCTGGAATTCTTTTCCTTTTCTTTGCCTGGCTCCTACATTTTAAGAATCAGCTCAAATTTCAATATACTTTTGAAGTTATCCCTGCCCTGCCACCTTCAGATTACCAAACTCCACAGGATAGTTTCCCGTGTTTTTCTGGATATTCTCAGAGATGTGGTCTTCTATTTTAATAATTCTCATATGCGGTAATCATTTGTTTATGTGTCTGCCTCCTTGATTAGGTAACAACTCCTCACACCTCCACTGATTCTTGCTTCACAGCATTTAGGAGCCTGGCTGACTTATAGTAGACACTTAATGCTTCATAAGGCCCTTCTCATTCTCTCCTAGTTCCTCTAACATCTATTTTATTATGTCTACATAATCACTGCGCAGCATTATTTAATATTTCATAGCAATTACTGGTGAAAATGAACTTTGGGGAGTTTACTATTCAGTGCTCTGAATATCAGATATTTGGAAATATCTTTCAAAACAAAAGCATTTGTGTATGCTTTCAATGTCACCTATGTGACCTTATTAAATCACAATTTTTAGAAAGAACAACGAAGGGCTGTTTAGCTAGTTTATGCACTTAAAAGTAGAAATTACACATAAAACTTTTCTTTACCCAAATTACTAAATAGATATCCATATTTTAATTACATTTCATTTTTCAGAAAACTTTCTGTTTGTAGGGCACTGAGAGCACTATTCCACCATTGTTAACCTTTCCTTTTTGGTGTAAAAAAGGACTCTCATTCACTGTTTCTTTGGTTGGCATTTCTGCATATTAATTTCTGTTAATATCTGTATATCTGCATTTGAATGAAAAGGGCTTTTCTAAGCCCAACATTTAACCAACGTGGCAGCTTAAAATGCAGCTAAAGGGGGGCACCTGGGTGGCTCAGTGGGTTAAAGCCTCTGCCTTCGGCTCAGGTCATGATCCCAGGGTCCTGAGATCGAGCACCGCATTGGGCTCTCTGCTCAGCAGGGAGCCTGCTTCCCCCTCTCTCTCTGCCTGCCTCTCTGCCTACTTGTGATCTCTGTCTGTCAAATAAATTAAAAAAAATTTTTTTTTAAAAAATGCAGCTAAAGGATAAAGTTTAGATGAAGTAGATTAGTTTTATGCAATATATCATAAAAACTATCTTTAAGTTTTATAGTCAGTCTTTAAATGCTCTCAGGAATAGAAAGCTGCACGTTTTCAGGCACAAAAATCATCTGAGTGCAAGTGCAGAGAAAAAATTTGGTGATGAAACTGCTATGCAATATTGTTTCTGGTGAAATAATATAAAGCAATCAAATAAAGTAATTTCATCTTGTGTTAATTACCAGCCTGATTATGAAGGCATCTCTAAAACAGAAATTTCAAAATTATTTTAAGACAATACAGTATAAGAATAACTATATAATCCAAGAAGAAAGTACATAGAGAGATACATTCTGGTGTTATTGCCAGATAATTGCTGATTGCTTTGTAACCCTTTGGCTTTATGGAAATGTAATTCTACTAATACACCATTTGCTTTTCTTATAACTTAAAGAGGCATAAGGTCGTTTGAATTTAATGAATCTTCAAATTTTAAAAATTTACGAACATCTACAGTGTAGTTTTTATTACGGCCTGGTATGTTTTAGGTCCTCAGTCTATTTCAGTAAAAGATAGGTTGGATTACAGAGAGGTATATATGGAAATCAAGAGTTGGCCAATCAGTTAACATTATGCAAATGACAAGAGAGTGATAATGTCAAGGTTCCCAGAGTAAAGAATTTCCATTTCCTAACAATGTCAATATCTAAACCATTCTAACAATAGATATCCTACGTGGCATCTATTTTTAGCAAAGAATCAAAAAGGAGAACATTTTCACCCCTGTCTTATACCAGTGAACCCACTCTTTGTAAGACCTCACCATATAAAAAGTTATATGGGCGTTAGGAGCAGACTGTGGTACAATGCCACTTGAGTGCCTTGTTGGGCTAGGGAAGGCTCTCTGCCTTTGGCCCGACTTCCAGCTAGCTGGACAGCAGCGCTGACACCAGTCTCCACACAAGTTTTGTAGAAAACCAACTTGAGGCAGTGTGGGAAGATCCTGTCAGTGCTACTTGATCTGAAAAGACACAGAAAAATTCACATTCCAAAGCTGTCAGCTTGCAAACTTGGAGTAGAAAGAAAGCCTCACTTTAAGAATGTAAACAAGGACGGTGAAGGTCTTCCCATCTAAAACTATCAGCATGCAAGAAGCACTCTGGCAGCTTGAATGCAGCGAGGCAGTGGCCAACCCCGTGCCCCGTGGTGAGAGCAAGCCTACCTTGGAGACTCCTGGCACTGTCTTCTTCCTACTAAGTACTTTACCTGTGATTGCAATGGCAGATTCTTCAAAAGAGCAAAACAGAGGGCTGTCACTTTAGAAGCAACAGCAGTCTCTCCGAAAGAATCAGTTTGGCATTTCCAGGGGAAAGGTCATTTCTTTACACCTCTAAAGAGGATACAGATAACAATAATAGAAAGAATATCAGTCACGAAAAGCTACATTTTCCTAGACCCCTAAAGGAAATCATGACACAGCTGCGAAGCTGGTACTAGGAGCCAATGCACTAATTTATCCCACTTCAGTGCATCGACTTTCCTCTTCTGTGAACTGGCATCCCAGCTGGGAAAAGAAATATTTACTAAGACTTGCTGAATTTTATTTACGGGTCTAGCAGACGCCTTCTAAGTTTCAAAGAAGAGATACCTCTGGTGTTGGTGAGATATGGGGTGGTGTGAAAATCACCCAAATGTACTTGAAAGATAGCACTCTCATGACCTAAAGAAAGATAATATCGAGTTAAGTGCGGCACTTTGAGTTCATCCAGCATGAATATCAGTGCCAAGGCAATCACATGGAGGGCCCTTGGGATACTGGGGTGATAAATCAGAACTTGGAAGGAAGCCTCCAAAATTACCCTGATTGTAGCGCCTTAGGAAAAACTGATTGAGTCCTCTATTAGAAACTTCTCCCTATTAGAAAATAGAGAAATATTTTGTCACACATTATCTAAAAGAGCTGCATTGTTACAGACATTCCTATTCAATTATTTATACATCCTCTTTCTGGTAAATCTCATCTGATTCTTTCTCCTTTCTAAATGTCACGAGTTTTACTCTCCCACTGGCACTGATGTTAACATTTGAAGGGGGAAAGGTTGTACTTAAGTTTAATAGATTTCATATTTAATAATGTAGTCAATAAAGTCTGCCCACTTAATCAGTCAAAGGCTATTCCATTCTGGACACTAAATGCCTCCAGTGAGCCATGTTGTTTCCATTACATACAATTCGCCCATTATTTTCAGCTCTTAGAAAAATATTTTAATATTTCCAGAGCTTTACTTATCTATAAATAAATAAAATGGCTTGCTTTTATATAAATGAAATAGTGCTGACAATATACTTTATACACTATCATTAACGAAATCACAGAACAAGGAAAGAAACTGATATCTATATGGGGTTTGAAGGATTTAAAGCACTTGTGAGAACAAATCCTTATAAACTATTATATCCTCTCCTTTCTCTCTTCAGACAAAGATTCTTTGCTTGACCAAACTTTAGTCAGGCTACTGAACCTTCTTCTAGGCTCATCTGTGCACTTTCTTGCAAATTCCAAGTTATCTGATCATCCTGAATATCTGATCAGTTTCCTCATCCTCCTCCACCCCTAGGTGATAACTGATCACCTGGGACTGTCTTCAGCAATAATCCTATTACGCTGCTTTAGCCAGAACCCCGGAACCGCCCATGTTTTCTCTGGTTCCATCCACCGACCCTCTCTCTACTCCTTGGCTATAAATTCCCACTTGCTCATGCTGTATTCAGAGTTGAGTCCAATCTCTCTCTCCCACTATAAAATGCCATTGCAGTGGTCCCTATGCCTACTGCCATGGTCCTGAATAAAGTCTGCCTTAGCATCATTAACAAGTGTCATTGATTTTTAAAAACTGCAACTTCTCATTTTATAAAAGGAGAATTGTAAAAGTGAAACAAATGAATTCCACAACCAATCATAGACTCTATCATTTTCACCTATTATTTGTTTTGCATTCAACTTTACAGCAATACACCATCATTAGTCATACCAATATTTCTCTAAATGGTATTAACAATATTGCTCTATTGTCTTTACATTAGCTTTGTAGCCACTTAAATACTATGTTCTCAAACCTCAATTAACTAATACCTAATAATCTTTAGAGAAAGGGATACTGCATATCTAAGCATTTTTTTGCGGGGTGGGCATATCTTGCAGGTGTTCTATTAACTGAAAAGGGAGTGCATGCAAAAAGAAGCACTTGGGAAAAAAACTTTGATTTTAAGCCAGGAAAAAGTCTATTCAGTGATGTGTGTTTCTGGCGAGTAGGTGTAGGGTTGTAAAGCATACTAAGTCTAGTGATTTTGAGAAGAAAAACCTCTGCGGTTAACTTTTCCTGTTAAAGAGAAACAAAGGACTTAAATTCTCTATATTATTGCCTGCTTTGCAACTCCCATATTCCTCTGCTGTATGGAGAGCCTGCACCTAAACGGCTGCTAAATATAGATCTTTTACTGGGAGTTAATATTGAGAAGTGTCTTTAGCTTTTGCTAGTATTTATTATAGTACACTGAAGAACATTAGTTGTTTATTCTTCTCATTATCTCTTTTAAACTATCTGAAATGTAAATTGTTAAGAAAATGAAGTCAACTTTTGTTTCCCTAGTCCGTGAAGTTTCAGTTTAGGGTTTTCCTTCTCAAAATGCCTCTTCAGATAATCCTCCAGACTGGGTTGAGTCAATTGTGTGCAGGATAGCCTCCCTGCCTGTAGCTTTCACTGCATTTTTCACTTTGCGTTATAATGATCTACCCATACTTTCTCTTCCAAACTACAAACTACTCTGTAAATCCTTAAAACCAGTAATTTTTAATATAAAAGATGGAATAATTTGCCAACAAAAATTATTACTATATCATATGACATGAGCTATCTAGATTGATGAAATGAACACACTTCCCTCAAGAAATAATCCCCTATGACTTGTATCATTGCTGTGTCCAAGATTCTCAGTTAATATGTATTTGCTACTATTTTGTCATCCTCTAGCACACCCTAGTAGAAAAAGGGTAGCAAGCAAGAACATTTTGAGAAATAATTATGAAATAAAAGCTAAATATTGAGAAAATTAACTGCATATTTTTAGACATTTGGGAAGATATAACATCCCCAAAACTGTTTTTAGCAGCTCACCACAAATTAAAAAAAAAAAAAAAAAAAAAATTCTTACCCCTACAATAGTCTACTGTCTCAATAGTAGAATGTTGAAAGTCACATTTTCGAAGTCTCAACATCCTATTTTCTAAAAAGTAGTTAATATCATTCAAATATGTAAAAATACCTACTCAGAGGTTAATTTAGTTGTCTCATAGGGCTGGAGTATATTTTAAAAAAAACAAGGTCTGAAAATAGGCTGCTTAAATTCCAATTCTGTCTCTGTACTCTCTGGTCACGTCACCATTAGAAAAGTTACTTAACCTGTCTAGGCTTCATTGTGTTCAACTGTAAAATAGTGGTAAAATAATAAACACCTCAGAATTTGGTTTTGAGGATTAACTGAGATAATGAGGGGGATAACCATCTAGCATACTGACTAGCAAATAATAAATGATCACTGAGACAAATTCTCAGAAATCAATTTACATAGTTTTGCTTTTCCAAAACAAAACATATGATTGAACACATTCTAAAACTGACTTATGGGAATAATACCTAATAATTATAATAATAATAACAAAAAGCCACTGTATGAACTATGTGACATATAACATATCCTGGGAATCTTATCAGTATAGGGCATTATGGGAAATTATAATATAAAAAACGCTTTATAGTATTATGGGAAATTATAGTGCAGACATTCTGTATTTTTATCCTTCGTTTTCATTAGAACATTTCTAATGTTCTTTGGTCACTGAGCAATCAATTTCTGAGGCTCCCTTGGTGTACGTCCCTCCCTCGAAAAGCGGGATTGGGAGGACAGAAAAACAAGTATTAGGTGCTTTGAAAGAAGATCAGCTTTATTCTAAATTCTATGTGGTTTTCTTTTGTTGTTGTTGTTGTCATATTGAAGTCACTTAATAAAAAAAAGTGATTATAGATGATTTACTCTCAATATCTCATCATAGTACTACAAAAGCACATTTAAAATATTTCCTTTATTTATATTTAACTCTATCCAAAATTGGTGAGCAAACTCATTTTCCCTAGAATCAACCCTGCATACTTTCTCCTGTCTGCAAAATTTCTCATGCAATGCTCTTTCTCCCAATAATCATGAAGCCCCATTAGTATTTTGCAGGTGGCTGGCCTGCACTGCTTGTTTGTTTGTGTTTCAGAAGTTAAACTGTGAGCATTAATCAGATCCGAGAGTGTTTTATTTTGCGTGTTGTCTTAAAAATGCAAATAAACTTGAAAGCGGATCAACTGCATGGAAAGTATGAAAAAAGAACACTTGCTGAACAAAGTACTAAGGAAGAAAACCCAGCACATACTCTCAATCACTTTGTCATGGTAGAAGGTTGGAGAAAGGACAAGTACAAGAACAAATACAAGGGAAAGGAATGAGCCAAGATCTTAAAAGCAAATCCTTGCTTCCAACTGAGTTTTACAAATATGTTAAAAATTCAAAAGTATATATAACTGAAACAGAATCTCCATACATTTTTTTTTATTTCTTTACCTTTACTCTTTTCCTAAAAAAATATTGTCTAAATAGTTTCAAAACATGGTAAAGGACTTTAAGGTTAATTTTTAAATATAATTAAAATAATTTACCCTTAGGCATGTTATAGACACATTATAATCTTCTGTGCTTACTATGCTCATTAACGATCACTTCAAGTATATGGGTGCATTTACTTCACGAAAGCATACAAATAATATATTAATAGAGCTTTCAATCCCAGAATGATGTATTCTCTAACTATTTTTGTATGTAGTCAAATTTTTTCCTTTATAGTTTTAAACATTTCTTTATGTACTATTACAAATTGCTATGATTTCTATTACCAAAACGACTCAATGGTTTTGAGTGATT